CTGACAACCTCTCCTCTACCTCCTTTGCCTGGTCTGCCTCATCGGCCATCAATCCTCTCTGTCCTCCCGCGATGTCTGAGGTACAATAGTGCCCTTTATGCCTCCGCAACCATGCATCCAATACTCACTGCACAGTAGAGCCTCAGGGAATATACCCTCGTTAATGACTACCTGCGCAATCTCCATCATGCGACAACACCGAGGCAAGACATCCTCTTGATGAGCGGGTCTCGACGGACATCCTGGAGCAGTCGGCACCGTGTATGGATTTGAGACTCTGAAGAACCACCTGATATATCTGCCGATGTAGCTCCAGTCATTCGGCGGTATGGTAGCTCGAGCCTCATCCGATACAAGATGACTTTGATAATAAGAAAACATTTCCTTTATCTGTATACAATTCAAGGCAGAAGGAGCAAAGACAGCAGGGTGTCTGGGGATGGTCTGGGTGTACCTGAATTTCTGCATGATGCGCCAGGGTAGACGAGGAGTAGTGATACTTGATCTGTAGGCCAACCATCCGGAGTATAGCGATATGTCGTCATATGGCCGTGTATGATTCACAGTAGGCATACACGTCGTCAATTGGCCGCGTCTGATTGTGATCCGTGTAGTGATAATACTTGATTAGTTGAAATGGATGTCCTTGGTAGCCAAACGGTCAAAATAGACTATGAAAGTCTCGACCGCCTGGTTCTCTCAGCGGGATAAAAGCACAGGCACAGGGCATCTCCTCAGTGTACTAATCCCAACATGCCTAGCCAGCGATGTGCGGGAACTTCTGGAGGATCCAAGCCTGAAATGAAAATAAAAATCATTCATTGATCAAGAATTATCGTAACTATGAAATGAAAATGAAAAAAAAAATTCAAGGATTAAAAATTATTACCACCAGTAGTGTCGTGCTGCCTGTAATCTACTTCATCCTCCACTGACATCTATTTCTCAACTTTGAATACAAATAGGTCAGGCAAGCCGCCCCCTAATTATACTCGTGGATCCGTGTGAGATCCAAGAAGTGTCGGAGGTATGCAACGTCATTATAGGTGGCACTCGTGTCCACACAAGACTCATGCTTTAAGGGCATATTTTCTTTATTTAGTTGGCACTGGGATTTGTATGGACACAAGTGCCACCTATACTGACGTTGCATACCTCCGGCATTTCTTGGATCTCATACGGATGTGCAGCAACAATCTCAGCATCAAATAACGTCTTCAGGAACGAAAACCTAACATGAGAGCCTCTGGTCCTATCCACCTCCTCAAACGCCTTCCCTGGATCATCCCCCAGATGTTCCACCATCATATCAACCATTTCGTTTTTGGTCATCCTACCATGATGAAGGAATCTCCCCTGATCGGAAGATGAAACAAAGACGAGACATCATCCAAGGTGATAGACATCTCACCATGCGGGAGATGAAAAGAAGACGTCTCAGAATGCCATATCTCCATGAATTCATTAAGCATCCTGTGGTTGACCATACTGTAACCGGTCATGCATAGGTCACGCAATCCAGAAGCAGTAAGAACCGACTGATACCACTGGTCTTCCAGCTGATGCAATGCTAGAATCTTCCTGCCATAGTTCAGAAACTTCTGGGGATCATGCGCCTTGTGAATTTCCATAAATAATCAATGTTAGTAATAATCAACGTCAGCAATTTAAATTAACGTAAAAAAATAAATAAAATAATTAGACTAATGTTACCTCTCCGTCTCAAATATGTCTGCCAGTGTGATTTGGACACAGAGGAAGTAGTGAAATATCAAATGGACCCCCTCCGAAAGCCTCTGGCTCGGCATCAGCAACCTCACCTTCAGGAGGTGACACCGGTACATCCGGATCATCAGCAGGAGGTGAAATCGGTGTAATAGGATCATCAGCGGGAGGTGGCACCGGTGCATTCCGACGCGTGTGAGAGGATGGGGGAAGTGACACGTCAGTTGGTGCATCTTGTGGTCTACGACAATAAGAAGTAAAAGGTGGAACAAGCTTAAATATAAATGAAGTGGCCTGAGGTGAAGATCAAGCCCCATGGGTGGACTGAATCTCAAGAGTAGAATATGCTCCAGCAGTCAGCGCCTCTCCCTAACTAGAGGTACCTGCTGCCTTCGTAACCGGATGGCTTTGCTCCCGCCGAACAGATGCCTGCTGGGAAACCCGTCCATGCCTCAGTCGGTCAGCTCTATCAGCCATTATGTCTGCAAGGTAAAATTAGTCGTACAATGAGTTTAAGCAAATGAATAACACAAGCAAGAAAATTATAAAATAAAAAGAATAAAAAACACACTGAGGAAAATCTGGAGATATATATACGAAAAACATTCTGTAGATGTATCTCAGGAATCTCTCAGAGTACATGAAACGTTGAATTTTTTCGGAGATTTATCTCCGAAATTTTCGAAAACTCAGAGATCGCGACAATGGCGTCCTCTTCCCCTCAAAGTGTGAAATTTAAAGTTCTGATCGTCCATTTGAGTCAACAAACAATACATACACTTACTCTAAACTATGTTTCAACTGATTTATAATCACTGCTACACCTAGCAATGGATTCTAACTCATTTACAATAAAACTCGAATATTTATCGAAAACTAAAAAACTTATCTGAAATTCATGATTTGAAAGATGTTGAATGATGAATTGGATGTTGCTTGATGATTACTTAAGCCTCATACGAATGAAATCAAATTTGGTGAATTTGGAGAAATTTGGGAATGAGAGAGTGGAAGAGTTTGTGAACGAAAATTAAAAGTGAGGGAGAAGGAAAAAAGTCTAGCGTGTTAATATGCTCCAAAACGTTTCGGAGGTATATCTCCGAAATATTTCAACGTTCAATTGGACTTTGGTGTGTCGGGAAATATATCTACAAAATAATTTAACGTTTAATTGAAATTCAGTGCATCCATAGATATATCTCGAAATCAAAGAACATATGTGAAAAGTCATATTGTGTAAAAAAAAACTGATAGAGTACAATAAGAAATGCTAAAAAAAACTAACATATTCTATTTCTAACTTTCAGTCTCTCCTAAGGGGATCAGTGATATTCGATTGAAAATAATGGAGGTGTTCTGGCCTGGGCCCCGGCGTGACCGGGCAGGCCCAGCCCAACAATATTCTGTCAAGCCCAATCCAGCTTGGGCCACAGCCGTCGAGCATAGAGTCCCCACCGGGCAGGCAATATCCATCCACGGGCAGAATCTTCCTCACCCGTGTCGAGCAGACACTGCCCCCGTCAGGCAGAACCTCCCTCCGCGGGCAGAACCTGCTCCCTTGTCGGGCAGGACAACGTGTCTTTCACACGTTCTCCACGTGATCCCCTCCGCGGGGACACGTCATCCACCAACTGTCCACCTCCGAAAGAGCATGTCAACCCACTTTTCGGAGTCCACAGAACAGTTGAACTAGGGCGAAGACCACGTTCTGGTCTTCACTACGCCACGTAAGCCCTAACAGTCACTTAGGTTGGGCCTGACCATCCAGCCCAACTCAAACGACCGTTGGCCCTGCGCTGGGGTCTCTCTATAAATACCCTCTTTCACAAGAGGGTCAGGTATTCTCTTCTTACCCTTTTTCTGTACTTGTGATCACTCTGCTCATACGCTTACTTTAGCATCGGAGTGCCTTGCAGGTACACCCTCCTCCTCTTTTTCAACATCGGTGAACAGACAGTGAGTCAAAGACGCGTGACAGTTAGCGATCCCCTTCTGATCAGGTTAGATCAGGAGGTATGTTTTCAATGATAACATCCGAACATCCAATAAATTCAATTTTGTGCGATTTTAGTTTTTTAAGATCAATTTGCAATTGATTTAGATCTGTTTAGATTTAAATACACCCATCTTCGAATTACCTTAGCATATGGAAGCACTTCATAACCTCCCCACTCGTTAGATTTAATCAAGAGGATCAAGTTATCATGGCGCATATTTAAAAAGTGATAGTGGCAACAAAAACACGTTTAAAACCCCATATTAAATTGTGATGACATTGCATTTCTCACTTGTTTTAGTCTTTAACTTCCTTGAGTCTGCATATTAAGGGGCAAAAGGATTTGGCATTCCCTCCATCACTCACTTCACAAAGGCACGTGAGATGTCTCCTCGTGTAGTTGCATTCAAATTCAAATATTTTAGTTTGTCAAATTGTGACGAATGTCGTGTCGACGTGTTGGTATCCTTCTTCTATATCTCCACTCCATAACAATCAGCTATTCTTCCATCCATGCACCACATTTTAGTCAAAAGACTAAATAAGAATAGACCCCCTCCCCTTCTTGAAAAAGTTTAGTCATACATGCAACATCTCTGATTCTACTGCATCTATACATAGTACACAGCATACATAATACTGCATCAAACCATACACAAGCAGAACAGAATATCACAGTAACACAACATAATCTTAATAGCCATTAACAAAATCATGACACAACTGGCAATCTACTTAACATGTAATCAAGATTTTAAGAACCAGTCCGTTACCATGAAAACAACCGCGACAAAATGGTATCAAGAGGTAACGATTCCTATTCATTGTTTTGATGATAAAGAACAAACCGCAATCAGTATCACTATACCTATAACGACCAAAATTGTGAAAGTCTTTACGCGACCACTACCAATAAAACTTTGGATGTAACTGAAAATTATCAAACTCATACATTATTAACACACACAAATAGATACACATGTGTGTGTCAAGATGCACACTGACAGCAAATAAACAAGATCCATCAATATATATATATATATATATATATATATATATATATATATATATATATATATATATATATATATATATATATATATATATAAAATAACAAATCTCCAACTCTAGTAGATTCCAATGTTTTCTGCAGATCCAGTTTGAAACCAACTATTCCAAAAGCTCAACCTGATCTTTCATTTATTTATTTTCTTTAAAAATAAAAACTAGGATGCTTTGAAAAAACCCTTCTTCTTCCCTTTCAAAACTTGGGCTCAATTCAACTGTTAATTTTCTGATAAACAGTAACAAAAGCCTCAGCTAGCATGTGGCCCAATTTAATCTGAGATTCTGTGTTCAAGTGGAGATTATCTTCCCTCAATTGCAATCCCTTTGCATCAATACAAATCACATTCGGAACATTAATAGCTTTCTGCGCTTCTCTCACTTTCTCAATGTATTCAAACCCTGATGCTAATGCAACCTAATAACAAACATCACCACAACAATCCTAAGGTTGTTTTGTTTTATGTTGCTCCATAATATAAATAAACAAAAATAGTTATTTACAAAACCTGAATGATTGGAAGCGATGGCAAATTTAGATCTTGACGAACATTGTGGATGAGATTCTCCATGTTGACTCTGTAAGCCTCTGCGTCAACTTCATTCAATGTGTCACTCTCTCCTTGGAACCACAACAACGCTTTGATCTCTGCATTTTCGTCTCCCTTTAAGCTTTCTTTGACTCTCTTCACCATGTTTTCGTAGAACTCCTCCCCGCGTGCCCATTCCTTTATTGCAGTGCCGCCAACAGCGCAGGGGACGAGACCTAACTCGCCGGGTACACACTTCCGTATTGCGTTGGCGAACACCATGCCTGGACCTATGCCACAGACTTTCTTGGTGTCAATGTCGATATGGAGGGGTTCGTGTGCTTGTTCCCATTTGAGGGCGGCGCTGAAACGGAGGATCGAAGGGTCGGGACTGCACTCTGGTGGAACGACTCCGTTCCATCGCTTGTTGGGAGTGTGGTGGGGATTCTTGATTACACCGCCACGACCGGCCATGTTGCTTTGACCGGAGAGTATAAAAATCTGCCTTTTGGGTGGGTTTGCGTTTGGATCACTGTCGGTTTCCATGTTGCTTTTTTGGAACAAAAGTGAATGGATGAACTCTAGATGAATGGATGAACTCTAACTGTAATGTGGGTTTGATTTAGGTTAGAAGAGTGTATAGGGTGGATGATCAAACGATAACACTAACCCTTTCTTTGGGAGTACGGAGCGAAAGGAAATGATGAAGAGAATATAAGGTTGGAATTGTTTTGTGCGTTTTGTTTTGATAACACTAAAAATCTTTTTTTTTTTTTTTAAGTCTCTCTTTCTCTTCTCTTTCCTCCAAACTTTCAAACAAAATTTAAAAATCCATTTGATTTAATCGAGAGGAAGAGAATCTCTTTGGTAGAAAATTAACTCGAGAGTCTACCGTTGATCTTTAGCATCCATATGTTTATAACATGCAATTAAATAATATCAACAGCTGTGATTGCGTTGGAAAAAAACTTTAATATGAAAAAATCATTTTTTATTGAGAAGAGGGATTCTTATAAAAGAAAGAGGTGGAAAGAGATTTTAATTATATATTTAATTCAAAAAATGAAAGAAGAGGGAATAAATTTTAGTTGTAAATATATTTTTGTTAACTATGGGTTGAGAAATATTTTAAAACTAATTTACATATTTATCTTTAATTTTATCATAAAAGTTATAATATTTATCATTTATAATTAGATCACAAATTTATTTTCAGAATATAAATAATGAATAAAAGAACATTATAAAATATTTTATAAAAATATTGCAATAATAATATATAATTTATGAAAAAAAAATTATCAAATACAATAAACTTTTTAAAATAATATTATAAAGAAAAGTGTAAAAATAATTAAAAAATGACTTCAAAATTTAAAATATAAAATATATAATTGATTTGAGTAGGAACAAATTTTTAACCACAAAAAGGAATACTTCGAAGTAAAAAGAAATTAATATTAACTTAAAGTTTTACAATTTTCTTATAAAGATAAATTATAATTTTTATAATAAAATTAATTTCTTAAATATAATAAATAATATTTTAGCTTCTCTCTCCTCCTCCAAAAATCTTGATTTATAGAAAACTAAACATTACTATACAAAAGATTTTAATTTCCTTCTCTTTCCTTCATTTCTAAAATATTGAACCAAACACTTTATTTTAAATATTTTCTCTCCTCCCTTACTCTCAAAAAATCCTCAATCAAACAGATCCTATAAATGTGTTTGAAAGTAGGGGTGTACGCGGGTTAGGTTGGACCGGGTTCGCCTTAACCCGTTACCCAACCCGTTCAACTTTCAATGGGTTGGGTTTATCATCAAACCCGTAATTCTACTTTAAAAACCGACCCGAATCAACCCGGATATTTACGGGTTGGGTAGGGTTGGGTCCACGGGTTGTGTATATAATAATTATTATTTTCAATTTAAAAAATCTATAACACAATTCAATATAATTTTGCATATTTCAAACAATTAAATTATTTACGTAGTGGAGACAAATCCTACATATAAAATAGAATAATTAAAAATATAACAATTAAAATTTTGAAATGTATTTTCTTTGTCATAAAAAATATTAAGATACATATACACCATTAATTATTTATATATTTTCATTAATATACCTTAATTTATAAAAATTTATTAGTTATTTTGATACTCAAATGTTATCCATTACAAATATATATCAACATATGTAAAACAAATATATAATAATATACAGTATATATTAGTTGTTTTGATACTCAAATGTTACCTTTTCTAGCACATGCTTAAAAGTAGGTCCGTAAACTATCATATATATTAACACTTAATAATATATAAAATTCCATAAAATATCATTTCCATAAAATTCATAAATTCTAAATAATTCAAAAGCAAATAAACATCACTTAGTCTTAAAATGACATAGATGTATTGGTCCAATATTGGTCTAATAGCACCAAAATCTAACAGCAACTATAAAAGATTCCAGCACCAGCAGTGAAAGGTTTAGAAACCGACCCGATACAGGGATAGCCAATATATCTCTAGCTATGCGGGATTCAGAAGATACTATGAGAATTGGAAGTATGAGAGAGTCAAAGTATAGACTGTAGATTTTCGAAAGGAAGATGGAATTGGAATGTGAGAGAGTAAAATGAAAAAAAAAATCGTGAGAGAAAGAGGAGTGGTGACGTTTGAGATTTGCCGTAGTAAAAAAATAGGGTTAGGTTAAGTGGTATTGTCTTTAGTTTAGTAAGTTTCTAATATATACTTAATTATTATTAGTTAATAAAGATTCATTAAAAAAATAAAAAGGCAGTAAAGTGTAAACTAGAAGTGCATAAGTCAAGCAAGCATGATTAATATTAATAATAATGTTTAATTATAATAATAATAATAATTTAATGTGTGATTGGAAACTGGAAGGAAAGTGCAAAAGATCTTTGTGTACGTTACAATTTACAAAGTTATAGCAACTTTAAAATTTATAAATAATAATATAATAATAATAATAATAATTAATTATGTCACGTCAACGGGTTGGGTCAACAGGTTCATGGGTTTAGAAACTAAAACCCAATACCCGAACCAAATCTATACGGGTTGTTACGGGTTGGGTCGGGTATACCCGTAAATGAATGGGTCCGGGTAATTAGTGGGTTTGTTCGGTTTGGGTAGGCGGGTTTGCGGGTCGACCCGCACCCATGAACACCCCTATTTGAAAGAGGTAATTAAAAAATTTAAAAAAAATTAAAATTCTAAATAATTCAAATAATTCAATTAAAACTCGTTCTTTTATCTGGATAGCGTATTAAGATAAATTGTTATTAGATTTTTTGGAGTCACTTTTATAAATTTTAAAAGTTTTAGGGTCTAATTTTATATTTAAATTTTTTTAATTTATAGGGATGTATTTGTAAAAGTTGAAAATTATTAGAGACTATTTTTCAATTTTTTTAAAAAAAATTTTAAGAATATATTCGGATGAGTCATTTTAATGAAGAAATGTAATTTTTTTATTTTTTTGAGAGAATTTAAAATGACTTTATCCAAATCCATTGATTGCATTATTAATTGAGAGAATTTTAAAAATGATGAAATTATAAATCCATTGATTGGATTATTAATTGAGAGAATTTTTAAAATGACGAAATTTTATTAGATATTTTTCAATGACCATTTTATGGAAAATTACAAATCTCCATCATCTTCTCTCATCTCCGTCGATCTCTCTCATCTTACAAAATCAATCTTTCTAACTCTTGCGAAATTGATCTCTCACCATCTTCCTCTCACGGATCGATATCAAATATTTGTATTTCTTTTCCATCTTTTTTTGATGAGCTATGGATATATATTGAGGAACTATATGTGTTGCGTGTTTTGAGGAAACTTATCGATGCAAAATGTAATGATAATGGTTCAATTTCTTTGAACTCTTCAATATAAAACAAAAATGTAATTAAAAAAAATTCAAATAGCCAAAGTGTATGTGATGTTTTGTTCATAATTCAATCAGTTGAATTATTTGGTTTTGGATTAGGTTCTAAACATTGTTGTATGTGTTTGATTAATTGATTAGGGATTTATTATTGTGAAGTTATTAAACTAATGATTATTTAACTAATTATATCTAAGTTACATTCTTTAACCCATTTATGTTGAATTTATTGTATTCTTATTTCGATTAGTAACAGTTGTATTGGTTTATTTATCTAAATTTGTGATGTTGGTGAGTTATTTGTTTCTATTTTAGTAATCATTATGTTTGTATTGTTGTCAACAAATTGATTACTTATTTCTCGTATTTTAGAAGAAGCTTTTCGAATGACGTAAAGACGTTGTAGGATCGGAAATGACGTAAAGACATTGTGGGATCAGGAATTCAGGTTAACCTTAAAAACAATAACTTCGTTAACTTGATCTGAACAATTCTTGGCCCTACTAGAACTCTTTACGAAGGTGGTGTTTTTCATATTGAAATCACAATATCCGATACTACACTATTTACATTTAGTTTCTCTTTTTTTTTATCCCCAATTATTGTTTTTTCAACTAGAGTTTCTTGTGTAACTCTTGTGATTAATGAACCTTGTTGGACTACTGAATATATTGGTTAAGTTTTTCAATTAGAGTTTCTTGTGTGACTCTTATGATTAACGAACCATGTTGTGATATCATTTCATGTTTATTTTTATTTCTACTATATAAAAAACAATTAAGCAGTATGAAAGGATCCTTACTTTGGAATATTGTTGTTGTTTATTTGGTTAATTTTACTATTTTTCTTTTTGCTGAATATATTAGTCTTTGATGCTTCAAGTTTTGGGGAATGATAAAGTTATTGTGGTTATTTTTTTGTTTGTTTTGATATTCTTAAATTCTGTTATTGTGATGAGAACGATTGAGTTTGAGATTACAATCATAGTATTGTGTTTTACAGTGAAATAAATAAGAGATCAAGAAAGAAGATGATTTATAAAATGCTACTTTATTTGCTATTTTCAAGATTTTGCATATCAAAATTTCCTTTAGAAATTCTTGAAAACATGAAACTCTACATGAAAACATGAAAATAAAATTTGTCTACTGTCATTTCAAAAGAGACATTCTAGAGAGTTCAAATATATTGTTGTGAAGGTTTCTTCCTTTAGGATTGAAAACTCATGTCTGTAAGGATCCTTCAAGAATCGTTTCATACATGAACAACCATTTAAACAAACCTAAAACTTCTAAAATGACAAATAATATAAATAACAATTAAATTATAAAAGTAAATATAATTGATATATAGTACACCAATTAACAATGAATTGTAGTCCTTTTTACTTTAATTGGGGAAAAATTATAGGGGTGCTTACTATGTATATTACATACGTATCAAATAAACCCTTCCAGAACACAAAGTGTCCATAAAGATCCTTCTAGAAATGGGAAATATTAAATTTTATTTTTTATTGGGAGGGGGTCCTTGAGATATGTGGGAGGTGTAATTGGAAAATCTCTCTCTATACAGTGAGTGTTGTAATAGATGTGAAGTAGGTTAGAATCGT